GCAGGAGGAGGAGGAGGAGGAGGAGGGGGAGGAGGGGGAGGAGGGGGAGGAGGGGAGGAGGAGGAGGAGGAGGAGGAGGAAGAGAAGGGGGACTAGCTAGCAATCCCCGAGAAGGTGCACCCGCCCTCTCGCCGGCCCGCCCGCCGTGGCGCTGCCTGAGGTCGCCGGCCCGTCGGCGTTAGGCAATTCGGCTCTTGCGCGGCCCGCTCGGACCTGACTCGCCGCTGGCGCTCTCGCCTGCGGCTGCGACAAACAGTAGGGGGACTTGCCCGACGTAACCCCAGGAAGCATTTAAGAAACCCCCCGGCGATATCGTAGCACCGCATTTTTTATTCGATATTCCGAGGGGCCGAAATAACCGAACGATAGCTGTAGCACCCGGACGCGATGATGATGATGATGATGATGATGATGATGATGATGATGATGATGATGATGATGATGATGATGATGATGATGATGATGATGATGATGATGATGATGATGATGATGATGATGATGCGGATATGGATGATGGTGCGGAAGGGTTATCGATTTGCCGGAGGGGGGGGGGTCTTAAGTGCTTCCTGGGGTTAAGCCCACAGTGTATATCGCGGCGCGGTGGCCCCAACGACGTGTCACTGCCCCGCGAGCTGGCAGCGCGTGCCGCCCCGCTCCGCGGCGCGAGCGGCCGGGAGAGACTCGGGACGTGGACCCTCGGCAGTGGGGGCGCTGCCTGCCTGTCGCGTTATGCCGGGCATGTCCCACTACAGGCGGGTTTTGGACGAAACATACCAAAAAAATACCCCAAAAACAGATCCCCAAAGACTCCAAAAGTGATCAAACGGAAAAATCGTCCCCATCATATCTTTTTGACTATTTGCGCATACTCCCCCTGTGGAGGGACACGCCCGACTCGAACACAAACTCTCGGCGCTCCGCGCGGACTTCCTGGATCCGCGCCGGGGCCCCCCTCCTGGCTCGCGGGCGCGCGCCAGGGGCGGCACCGGAGGCGCCGCGAAGGAGGCCCCAGCGCGGATCCAAGAAATCCGCGCGCAGCGCCAAAAGTTTATGCCTGTGGCGTCTGTTTTGCCTCTTCGAGGAGGCTGGTGGGCCAGAGCCTGCGGCGCGACAAGCTGGGCCAGAGTTCCCGACCGCATGAGGAGGAGGAGGAGGAGGAAGAAGAGGAGGTGAAGCAGGACAAGGAGGAGGAGGAGGAGGAGGAGGAAACTGGCCACCGAGGACGGCAAGGAAATTGGCCGACCCGGCCCGATTGCGGATACCGCGTCAAGGCTCCCACTTCAGGCTCCAGAAGAAGACTGCTGAAAGCCGATACTAGCAGGAGAGTAAAGTTAGGTCGGGCCTGTCCCCCTACAGGGGGATTTTGGGCGGAAAAATCAAAAGACTCCAAACATGCTCAACAATGATCAAACAATGCTCAAAAGATCGTCCCCAGGCTATTTTTGAACTATTTTGGAATATTCCTCCTGTAGATGGACAGGCCCGACGTAAGAGCAAAGGTGGAGGAGGAGGGAGGAGGTGGAGGCAAGAAGACGGAGGAGGAGGTGGAGGAGGAGGGAGGTGCCGGGGGATTGGAGGAGGTGGAGGAGGAGGGAGGAGGGAGGTGGAGGAGGAGGGAGGAGGTGGAGGAGGAGGGAGGAGGAGGAGGAGGAGGGAAGAGGAGGAGGAGGGAGGAGGAGGAGGTGGAGGAGGTGGAGGCCGCAAGGAGTGCCGGGGGAGACGGCGAGACGGGCCGGCACGTGGGCGCGGCCACGAGCCGGGGGCCAGGGTCTCACCAGCCGCGGAACACCCTGCTGCGTTGGATCGGTAGCAGGAAAAAACACAGGAGCGTAAGCCACATAGCACCGCTATCTTGGAAGAAGAAAGACCACATGAACATAAACTTGTGGCGCTCCGCGCGGATTCCTTGGATTCGCGCTGGACCCCCCTTCCTGGCGCGCGGAGGCGCCGCCGAGGGGCCCAGGCGCTGATCCAAGAAATCCGCGCGGAGCGCCAAAAGTTTACGTTTACGTGCTATGCGCCATTTCTTCTCTGGGTCAGATCCGGCGAGTGCTGCCGGGGTGCCGCGACGCTGGACTGCGCCCCCTGGCCAACCCCACCCCACCCGCAGTGCGTCGGGCCTCTCGGCCCGCACGCCCACAACCCCTGCCTCCCTCCCCGCCTGCTTGCCCAGCGCACCCCAGACATGCGACGCCCTGATTTTTTCAGGACGGCGTCCCCGCGGAAGTCCCGAACCTTTCCCCGGGACCGGTTTTTCATCCTGAGTAGTCTTTTGACGGCCCCGAGGCCCGGCGAAGGCCCCACACGAGGCCGAAAACGGACGAAAACCCGCCGTCCTGATTCTTTGACGACGCGATCATGTCTGGGACATCCTCCTGGCTCGCATCCGTGCCGCTTTTGCGTGCCGGCCCCCCCCCCCCGCGCCTCCCCGCGCCAGGGCGACACGCCGCACCCCGCGCGCGGCTCGCTCGTCCAGCAGCCGCCTGACATGAGCACGACCACCCTAGGGGGCCACACGCGAAGCGTACCCCTACCCCCCACGATTTCCGAGGGGCAGGGTGGGGTTCACTTCGCTCGGGAGCTCCCGAACGGAGTGAACCCCACCCTCCCCCTCGGAAATCGTGGGGGGTAGGGGTAGGCTTCGCGTGTGGCCCCCTACACCCGCTCCAACCACCCCGCACCCGACCCCCCCAGCTCCGCACGCAGAATCATGATCGGCGGCAGGATGAACACGAAGAGCAGCATGCACAGGCCCACGCACCCGAGCAGATACGGCAGGTCGGACACGACGGCGGCGCCCACCACGGGGAGCAGGGCGCACGCGACGCGCAGCTGCCAGGAGCCGTCCTCCCCTCCACCGCTCTTGGCCCATAGCAGCGCCGGGGTCAGCGCCACCCTCTCGCCTCGCTGTGAGAACTGCGCCGCATGCCTTCCCCGCCCCTCCCCTCCACCGGCCCTGCCATGGCTTGCCCTAGAGCTGCGGGTGGTCGCGATCGGGCAACCATCTCGAATCCTCCAAGGCAACAGCTTCGGCCGAAGGGCACGGGCTGCAAGTAGTGGGCAGTCAGTGGCGGCGGGAACGACAGCTGGAGAAATGGGAGGCCCCGAGGGGAACCCAGCCAGCCTCCGACGTGATTTGCTCAATCCGCGACCCCAGAGCTCCCGACCCCTTCCCTGGGGGAAACTGTTTGAGCAGGGAGCGACCGTCCTGGCATTCCTATAGTCCTATCACGAAATGTTCTTAGAACCCAAAAATGTTCTAATAACACAAACAATGTTCTTAGAGCATGAACCCGATGTGCTAAAGCGACACAGTCTCCGCCAGAAATGTTCTAAGAACATTTCTTGGAAACCACAAGAGGTTCTTAGAACATTGTTTGGTGGGGCTATAGGCGAGCCAGGAAGCTTCGCCACTGCTTGAAAATTTTACGCCCTGGATGGACGCCTCGAGCACGGCACGCGTGGCGTACCAAGACGGGCGCATATCGAGGCAGCAACGCCCCCCCAGGAGGAGGAGGAGGGAGGAGGAGGAGGAGGAGGAGGAGGAGGAGGAGGAGGAGGAGGGAGGAGGAGGAGGAGGAGGGGGAGGCAGGAGGGGAGGAGGAGGGGGAGGAGGAGGAGGAGGAGGAGGAGGGAGGAGGAGGAGGAGGAGGAGGAGGAGGAGAGGAGGAGAGGGGAGGAGGAGGAGGGAGGAGGAGGAGGAGGAGGAGGAGGAGGAGGAGGAGGAGGGCCCCAGGGCCCGAGGACGGGCCCGGGAGGCCGAACTCGGGGAGGCGCGCCCCGATTGAAACAACCACGTCGTCGGAGAGCTGGGAGTGTCAAGACGACGATCCACCTCCCCAGACCCCCTCGAGTCATGAAAAAATCACGACGGGAGGTTTTTCGCCATTTTCGGCCTCTGGGGGCCCTCGCCGGGCCTCGGGACCCTCAAAAAACGACTCAGGATGAAAAACCGGTCCCGGGGAAGGGGTCCAGACCTCTGGGGGTCGCGTCGTGAAAAAATCACGACGTCGGGGGGCTGGGTCCGTGGCCCATGGCACGCGGCGGGCTAATTCTTGACATCGCTCACGAGGATCGTGGCCTCCGAAGGGGGGGGGAAATCTAGGACCCCCCCCCCCCTCTTTTGACCAACCGCCTCCAAGATGGCCCCAAGAGGCGCTCCAGGGCTCCCGAACGGCCGGATCCGTGTGCCTGCACGGTTGTCTGGCAAGCTGCCGGAAGAGGGCGTATACACAGCTTCTGGGTTTTGGATGGGCCTGGCCAGGGAGCAGTGGATATGCATGGGTTCCGTCGTGCGACAAGGAGCGATGCGCACACGTCCCTCGGCCTCCGTTGTTGGGAGAGCTTCGATGTCAGCCAGGTCCGCCGGCTTGGGGTTCCATGATCGCCACGCACTACTGCTGCCTCCACAGCCAGTGTCCACGGCAGCAGGCAGTGTAGCTCTCCACCCAATATTCTGGAGCTTAGCTTCCCATGCGTGACATTTGTCGCGATCGAAATGGTAATCCTATCTCGCGACCGCATTGGCCTTCTGCACTGTGCCGTGCTTCAGGATGGCCTCGAGCCCTGCAATTCCGCTGACACACAGCTGCACTATTCAACCAAAGGCGGCACCGTGCGTAGCTTCTTTGAGCGTTCCCTCGCGAACTGCCTCGAAGATACTGGCCACCACCCCGTGCTTGACACCATGTTGTCTGCTAAGCTGCTCTGGCTGCGCTTGCGGTATCATCATGCGCCTCCTCGCCTACCTTCGCCCTCGCTGAAACGAAGGTGATCAACTCGCCATCGGCCTGTTTGGCCCCGGCTTGCGCCGAAGCGGCGGCGGCGGAGCAGTCAGCACTGCCAACCGAGGCAGCCTCGTATGCCACGGCTCCGCTCGCTGCAGCATCTGCGGGCGGGGCGGCCCCGCTCGCACCTGCCACGACGGCACCACCAACAGATTGAGGGACTGATACGGCTGCCTGCAGCACTGCACTGGGACAAGGCCTCGAGCTGCTTGGCGACCTCCTTGAGTGTGTCGTCCGCGCCGAGACCGCCGATGAGCTCCTGGGTGGCTGCATGGGGGGGACTCTGGCTGCTTCTCGGCGGCCATGGCAGAGTAGGTTTCGGCCGCCTTGGCCGCAGCTCCCTCACACCTCTGCCTGGCATCGTCGAGGGCCGCCTTGCGCTGAGCTGCATGGGCCAACGCCTCGACAGCCGCCTCCTGAGCCTTGTCGTGGCCGCGCTGAGCCTTGCCCAGCTTACTCGCACGGAGGGAATCCTGCGCGATGCGAGCAGACTCGGCCGACGCCATGGGGTCGCCGCCGAGCGCGGCACGGGGGGCGGAGACCCTTGCCTCAACCTTTGGGAGCCCACGGCTCCGAAATGGCTGCGAAGTCAGTCTCGTCCATGCGTGCGTACACGTTGAGGCGATCCTGCGAGAGGGACCTGGGCCCCTGGAACTGCTGTGGGCGGCAGGGTGAAGCAGGGTGGCGGGCCACGTAGCCGGTCGCCGAGAGCGGGCCTCTGGTGCACGACGGTGGGTTGCCTGCCCGCGGCTCGCCCACACACCCTGCAGTTAGGTCGGGCATGTCCTCTTACAGGGTCAGAAAATACTCCAAAGTGATCACAAATAACCCACAGATCGACCCCAGACTATCGCTTACTATGTCTGAATATTCATTCCTCCCGTAGAGGGACAGGCCCGATGGCACCAGGAGGAGTTCAGCAACAAAAAAGAATTTGGCACACTTGGAGTGGTGCGCCGGAAGAGTATGGCACAGGAGAAGCTCGGCATGAGACGATTTGGACACCGTGTGCAGTAGGCGTGCCCGGTGAGTCACGCGTATTCGGTCAACTGTGTGTAGCCAGTGAGCTGAGGATACAGGGTGACTTGAGTGTGTGGGGTGATTTTGCAATCATGGGTGAGCTCGGGCGTTCGCTGAGTTGCGTGTTTAGGTGAGTTCTACACCGCGAGTACGTTCGGCACCGGGGTGAGCTTGGGCACTCAGCGAGCGGATCTGGGGGGGTGAGGCAACGGGTGAATTCTGCAGGATCGAGTGAGGTGCAAAAAGGGGCCTCTCGGATGCAAGTTTGCTTGACTACGAAACGGTTTCGTAGTCAAGCATCTTTTTTCTGGTTAGTTGCCACTTGTTGTGTAAGGCACCGGGCGAATCAAACTCGTCAGATGAAGAAGGACTGGATGAGATCAGGCATCGGATGGGTTTGGCATCGTATGAGTCCAGCACCAGATGAGCAAAGCAGCAGGGTCGGCAGCAGAGGAGTTAGGCATCATATGAGTTGGGCACCCGATGAGTTCAGCACCGGATGAGTTTGTCACCGGATGAATTGGGGACCAGGTGAGTCATGCACCAGATGAGTTAGGCCTCGGAGGATTTACTCGCTTCCATTGCACCTTTCTACACTTGCTTCCCGAGGCTGTTCTGGAGGGGTTATTGGGTGCATCCTGGGGCAGAAGGGAGGTGAGAATTTGCTTGACTACAATACGGTCTGTAGTCAAGCAAATGTTTTGTTCCTTTCGAGTTCTTGCTTAACGCTTTCAATAAAATCGGAAGAGTAAGGGTACCAGATGAGTTTGGGCAGCGGATGAGCTAAGACACTGGATGAGTCAAGATACGGGATGAGTGAGGGCATCGGGGATCTTCCGACCCAGGTCAATCCAGACCCGGGTCAGCAAGGAACCAAAAAACTGCAATGCAAGAACAAAAACTGCAACGCAGGTCTTCGCAAACCGGGGTCAGCCAATATGCGCGGCCGCCTCGCGGCCACGAGCGGCTCGCTAACCCGGGTCAGCCAGAGGGGGTATTCGCAGGATCCTGCAGGATGCGGTGCCCTGGCAGCTGACCCCCGTCTGCATTGACCCCCGTCTCTTAGGCTCCGAGGGCAACAGATGAGGTAGTCACCGGATTAGTTTCGCACCGGATGAGCTAGGGCACCGGATGATGAGGTAGGGCACCGGGTGTTTTCGGCGCCGGATTAGGTAGGGCATCGGGTGACGTAGACACTGGATGAAATAGGCACCAGATGAGTTAGTGCATCGGATGAGTTAGTCTCCTGACAGGCCTGGTTAACTGAGGTAGGGCGCAGGATTAATTTGGCACCAGAGGAGTTAGGGCTCTGGATGAGTTTGGCACCCGATGAGCTTGGCACTGGATGCTGGATGAGTTTGGCTCGAATGCGGTCGAAGCCGACGTTGGGAGCTAGCTGCTTCCAGACGCCATTGTGAAGGGCTTCTTGGGTGCGTTTTGGGGCAGAAGAGAGGTGAGAATTTGCTTGACTACAAAACGGTTTGTAGTCAAGCCAATGTTGAGTTACTTTAGAGTTCTTGTTAAGTTTTCTGTTCAGGCGACGCTCGGGGATCGCTGCTTCTCGAGATTCTTCTGGAGGGCTTCTCGGGGGTATCCTGGGGCAGATGAGTGGCTAAAATTTGCTTGACTACAAAATGGTTTGTGATCGAGTCAAGTTTGAGTTCTTGTTGAGTGTTTGTTTCAGGCGACGTTCGGGGTTCGCTGCTTCTCGAGCTTCTTCTGGAGGGCTTCTCGGGGGTATCCTGGAGCAGATGGGGGGCCGGATTTTGCTTGACTACAAAACGGAGTTTTGTCAAGTATCTGCAAAACTTGCTAGTCGACTTGTCTTGCTCTTCAACGGTGCTTTGTCCTGCTGGAAAACTCCAAACTTGCTAGTCAAGCAAGCTTGGAGTTTTTTGTTGGGTTGTCTGTGGAGGGCTTTCCTGTCGGCCTTGGAAGCTCGCTGCTTGCGGAGGGCTTCGTGGGGGCCAGGCAAGCTCGCTCCTCCTTCTCCTCCTCCTCCTCCTCCTTCTCCTCCTTCCTCCTCGTCCTCCTTCTCCTCCTCCGCATCGTCGTCGTCGTCGTCGTCCTCCTCCTCCTCCTCCTCCACATCCTTCTCATCCTCATCCTCATCCTCCTCCTCCTCCTCGAATTCCTCCTCCTCGAAGTCCTCCTCCTCCTCCTCCTCGTATTCCTCCCCCTCCTCCTCCTCCTTCTCCGGGGAAGATGGGGGGTGATACTTTGCTTAACTGCAAGAGGGTTTGACGTCAAGCATTTTCGGGGACGTCCGTCAAGATGCTGGATTCGTGAGGTTGGATGGATTTAGGGTATCCCATGTGACGGAGTGGGTGAATTCGGCGCCGGATGAGTGAGGGTACTGGATGAGTTCCAGGGCGGATGGGTTAGGATACTGGAACATTTAGGGCATCGGATAAGGTAGGGCACCGGATGAGTTAATTACCGGATGAGTTAGCCAACGGATGAGATAGGGCACTGCAAACTGTGAGGCACCGGATGATGAGTGAGGACACCCGGTGAGTTAGGGCATCGGATGAGTTAGGCAACCGGATGAATTAGTGACTGGATGAGGCAAGTCATGGACACAAGGCACCGGATGAGTTTGTCACCGGGTGAACCGGATGAGCTTGGCACCGGATGAAGTTAGCTACCGGATGAGTTTGACCGGATGAGGTAGGCCTCAGTGATTTAGTTAGGCACTAAATGAGTCAGCTACCAGATAAGTTTGACCGGATGAATTAGTCACCGGATCAATTAGACTGGATGAGATAGGCATCGGATGAATTACACCAGATGGGTTAGGCACGGATGAGTTAGGCATCGGATGAGTTTGACCAGGTGAGTTCGACTGGATGAATTGGCACCGGATGAATCAGCCAGGTTTCATCTGAGGGGAGGGTGAGGCGCACGCCAGGGCCAACCAGCGGGCGCTTGGCCAGGGGAGAGCCTGGCAAATGGAGTCTGTCTGCCGCGGATCAGCCGTGTCCACGTGGTTCCCAAAGAAACCTCGACACCTTCAGCCAAAATGGCTACGAACCCCTCTCCCTCCTCCTCCTCCTCCTCCTCCTCCTCCTTCTCCTCCTCCTCCTCCTGCTCCTCCTGCTCCGCCGGTTCCGCCTCCATCCTCCTCTTCTTGGGGTATGACACTCTGCCCAGCCCTTTAGTCCGCTGCGTGCTCCTCCACATCCCTGATCAGCTGATCAAGGCAACTCGTCTGGGCATCGTTTCTGGATGGGCTGGTCGGGTTACGCGACGAGTCTCGGATAGTTGAGGACAGCTAAGCAGAGAGGAAGGTAGTTAATCATGTTGCTTTCTGAGCACGTGTCGCAACACAAGAAAGTGGGCATCAAACAAACAATGCATGATCAGAGCACCACCTTGAAGTCGGGTAAACAGTACAGGCAGAAGGACAATCCGAAAATGAAGAAGACTAGTCTGGCTGAGAATGACAGGCAGTTGCTCAACACGGGGGGGGGGGGGGGCGAAGCCGAGCGGAACGAAAGGGAGGACGATGCAGCCGATGAGAGCAACGAGTGTGCGTGGAGGGCTCAGGGTTACACTGGTCGCGTGCGTTCGTGTGTTTTGGCAACGGCGCCAACAAGCGCGCGTGGGCGCCCTGCATTGCCAGGGGGTCAGCGCATGACAAACCGACGAGTGGAATCGTTTGAGGAACCAACAACCTATCGTGATTTCCAGAGCTTGCTTTCCAGCATCAATAGCCCAGCTAACAAGCGAAACCTCAAACGTTAAACTGTTGTCATACCCGCGACCTTTTGCAAAACGAGCTGCAAGGATGAAACCTTGATTTCCCATGTCGACTAAATGATTCGTACACCAATGCCCATCAGACATGACTTGTTCATCGCCATGTGCGCCAACGCCGTGTCTTGCCGCTGGTTTAACGCCTGTGCTCCTCCTCCTCCTCATCCTCCTCATTATCTTCCGTCTCCTCCGTCTCCTCCTCGGCCTCCGCCTCCGCCTCCTCCTCCTCCTCCACCTCCTCCTCCTCCTCCTCCTCCTCCTCCTCCTCCTCCTCCTCCTCCTCCTCCTCCTCCTCCTCCCCCCCCCTCTACCCTTCCCCTTCCCCCCCACCCCACGCTCCTCCCCTTACCCGCCCTTACCCCCCTCACCCTCACCCTCTCCCCATCCCTCCCCTTCGACAAGTACACAATCTGAACACTACTCTCCTCTCTCCCCTGGTGGCGTCCGGGGAATGTCCGGCCCCCCTCCGCGAGCTGGTTTCATACACGCAGGATCCCCGCGAATGGGTTTTTCGCATTTCAAATGCGAAAACCCCATTTGAAAAACAAATGATTTGTTGTTCAAAATGCTGCTCTCGCTGAAGTGCTTTCTTCATTTTCGGGCTACCGCTCGTTCCGACGAATCGTGCTCCCGCTGCGGCGCTGGCCTCATTTCCGCGCTTCCGCTCGTTCCGAATCGTGCTCCCGCTGCAGCGATGGCGCCAATATTTCCAGCGCCATGCAACGGCATGCGTTGCGGTCCTTAAAAAATCGGCACGGGAATCTGGAAAATGCCCCCCCCCCCCCCCCCCCCCCCCGAACAAACCATCGGAAGTGAATCCACAGTCGGTGTCGACTTGTTGATTTTCTGGGCCGCGGAAGCCCCGATTTTGGGGCGTCGCCACGCTATGCTATGTCAGGCTACGCGTCCTCATTTCCGCGCTTCCGCGCTTGGTTCTTTTCCAAATGCTGCTCTCGCTGAAGCGCTGGCCTTATTTTCGGACAACCGCTCGTTCCGTATCGTGTTCCCGCTGCAGCGCTGGCCTCACTGCCGCGCTTCCGCTCGTTCCGAATCGCACTCCCGCTGCAGCGCTGACGTCATTATTCCCAGCGCCATGCCACGGCACGGTTGGCGGTCCTTCGAAATAGGCCCCGAAATCTAGAAAATGGACCCCAGAAGAAACCATCGGACGTGATTACACATTCGGTGTCGATTCGTTGATCTGTTGGGCCGCGGAGGCCCCCGCCCGCACTTCGGGGCGTCGCCACGCCATGCTATGTCAGGCTACGCGTCCTCACTTCCACGCTTCCGCGCATGTTTTTTGTCAAAACGCTGTTCTCGCTGGGGCGCTGGAGGTACAGCTCGTTCCGAATCGTGCTCAGGCTGAACCGCTGGTCTCATTTCTGCGCTTCCGCTCGTTCCGAATCGTGCTCCCGCTGCAGCGCTGGCGTCATTATTTCTAGTGCCATGCCCGCATGGTTTTCGGTCCTGCCAATTGGCCCCAAACTCTAGAGAATGGCCTCCCGAAGAAACCATCGGAAGTGATCCCACATTCGGTGTCGATTCGTTGCTTTGTTAGGCCGCAGAAGCCCCCCCCCCACTTTGGGGCGTCGCCAGGCCATGTTATGTCATGCTACGCGTTGATCTTCGACACCATGCTATGCCATGTAATGCTATGCCATGCTGCGACATCCTTTTGGGCGAATAGAGAGGAGGTCTACGCCATGGTCAGGGACGGGAGGGGTAGGACGTCAGATATGACGCGAGCGCACCTAGCTTGCCCTCCTCCTTCCCCCGTCACCCTCACCCACTGCTCCCTTCCTGTACACCGTCCACCTCGCCCTCGAGTTCCCCTTCTCGATCAAGCCCCCTCTCTGCCCCGTGCGTCCCCCGTCCCCTCTCCGTGCTTGGGAAGCAGGGGCGCATGGTCGACGCGAGGGCCGTGGCCAGGACGGGGTATGCCCCAGTGACGTCCACCTGCGAGGTGGGAGGCGGATGGGACAGGGAAGAACGGAAAGGAGGTCGGAGGACGCGTACTGTACACCTACGCTGATCCCAGGCCTCCTCGCGTTGTGAGGAAAACGCGCGACGGGAAGCGCTTCGCTATTTTCGGCCTCCGGGGGCCCTTCCCCAGCCTCGGGGCCGTCAAGCCACGGCTCAGGATGCAGAACCGCTCCCGGGGAGGGGGTCCAGACCTCGGGGGGGTCGACGCCGCGAAAGCAGATCGCGGCGTCGGGGGTCTGGGAGCCCGGTCGGGCCCACTCCGGGCCAAGGTCCGGAGTGCTCTCATCGGGGAGGCATCCGCGCGGAGCCCTGGCCCAAGACTGCGCCGGCCAGGGTGGGTGCAGGTGCACCGTGGTGCGGTCCTCGGGCGGGGGAGGTATCCTCCCAGGAGCCACCGTGGGCACAATGAGCAGCCAGCTCCGGAAGAGGACCGCGCCCCAGCCCGCGGCAGGGCGTCCAGCGGTGTAGTGCACCCAGTTCAGGGTGCAGACGGGCTTCGTCCAGTCGCCAAATGTCCGCCACCGTGCCCTGAGGCAAGAGTTGGAGTTGCCTCAGGTCCCTTCGAATTATGTGTCCCCAGTCCTGAGAGAATGAATGCGAAAAACAACAATATGTTTCACAACAACAACAACAACAACAAGAACAACAACAACAACAACAACAACAACAACAACAACAATAATAATACGAATGCGAGTGCGAATAATACTAAGAATGATCATCATCATACGAATAATAATAATACCAATAATAATAATCATAGTACTAATAATCATAATAATATTAATAATACTAATAATACTAATAATAATAGTAGTAGTAGTAGTAATAATAATAATAATCATCAGAATACTACTAAGTCGAATTATGATAATAGTCAGAATCACAATGGTAATGATGATAAGCACGATGATCAGGGTAATAATAATGTCATTAAAAGTAATCTGATCTAACAAATATGAATACGACTCCTCATCATCATAATCACCACCATCGTCATACTACAAAAAAACAGGTAATACTGATACGTAGCAAGATGATAATCAAATAACAATAGACATGCTGCTAACTCGTAAGAACAACGAACATCCAATACCAACATGAGTAACAAGACTAATAGCATCGAATACCGATAATACCAACACCCATCATACTACCATTCACAGCAATAGTTACGAATGGTGAGGGTAATGGAAGAATGATGATGCCAGGGATGCGAACGATACGAGCACTCATGAGAATTAGGATACGAATGATGATCATCGTAAGAACAACGACAAAAAAGGGCCCAGGCGCAGACTTGCCAGCTTTCCCGGGGCGCGCCGCGTGCCTGCAGGGCCTCCTCGCCAGAGGGCTCCAGGACGGGCCCGGAGGGCCCCTGAGAGGCCACCCGGACGGCCGAGAACGCTTCGGAGCCGGTCAGAGAGCGCTCCAAGATGCCCAAAAAGACAGTCGAAAATGGCCATCGAGGCGGTCGAAAATGGTTCGGAGCCGGCCAGAGAGCGTTCCAAGCTGCCCCAAGAGGGCCCCCAGACGGCCCCAGAGACGCCCGAGACGGCCCAAGAGGGCTCCCAGGAGGCCCCCCAGGAGGGCCCCCAGAGGCCAATGATGTCTCCTGACCATCCTGTAGTGTTGGGTCCTCGTTTTGAAGAGACATCGCCCCGCGTCTTCACTCCAGTGGCTGCCCTCCCCCTCCCCCTCCCCTTCCATATTCCTACGCTTCGCATCAAGTGCAAGTTCGGTACACCCCGCACACGCTGCGTGGCCTCATAAGGGGGGCTCTACAGAGTGCCTCCGTGGCGCAGTTCGCGTCCCCCCCAGTATAGCGTTTCGTTTTCCATCGGGGGCTTCACCCAGTGCCGCCGTGGCGCAGTTCGCACGCGTCCCCACCATCAAGTACAGCGTTTCGTGGCCCCAGGAAGAACGAGCTCCACCGACGGCCCCAATGGCAAAGTTCGCATACGCACCCACCACCCAGTACAGCGCTTCGTGGTTCCATGGGGAGTTTCACCCAGTGTCTCCGTGGCGCAATTTGCATGCGATACCCCTGTCCAATACAGCGCTTCGTGGCCCCATAAAGAAATCCACCGAATGCCCCAGTGGCGCAGTTCGCGTGCGTCCCCCCGCTCAGCCCCTCCCCACACTCCACCCACCCAAAACAACGCCTCGTGTCCCCATCGGAAGTTTCACCGAAAGCCCAGTGGCGCAGTTCGCATGCGTCCTCCCCGCCCCCCCCCCCCAATACAGCCTCTCGTGGCCCCAGGGGAAGCACCACCGAAGGCTCCAACGGCGCACTTCGCATGTGCCCGCCCCACTCAATATAGCCTTTCGTGGCCCCACAGGGAGCTCCACCGAAGGCCCTACTGGCGCAGTTCGCATGCGCCCCCCCCGGCCCTGTACAACATCTCGTGACCCCATATGGAACTCCGCCGGAGTCCTCTGTGGCAAAGTTCGCGTGCGTCCCCCCCCCCCCCGCACCGAAACCCAACCCACCCATAGGGAACTCCACCGAAGGCCCCAATGGCCGCGGCCGCATGCGTCCCCCACGCGCACTAGTGCGCGTCGTGGCCTCATAGGGACTTCCACTGGAGGCCTCAGTGGCAGCGACAGCATGCGTCCCTTCCACCCACTACGGCGTTTCGTGGCCGCACATGAAAGCTCCACCGAAGGCTTTAGTGACAGCGGCCGCAGGCGCTTAGCTGCCCCGATACGCAACACGCAACACGTATCGTATTGATACTGAGCTCAACACGTTGGCCGAAAACGTAGGTCCGACGCGATACATTCGCCAAAACGTGGTCCAATGCGTGGAGCCGACACGCAACGTATTGACACGGACGTCTTGAACACGGGACGTGTTGCGTTTCACAACGGGCGTATCGAGGCAACTAAGCGCTGGCGTCTGTCACGCCCACCAGGGCGCTTTGTGGCCCCATACGGAGCCTCACCGAAGCAGTCAACGGCCGAGGCCTCCTGCGCCCCCCCAACCAAGTACAGCGACTCGTGGCCCCGTGGGGAAGGGGGAGGGGAACTCCACCGAGGCACCGATGGCAAAGCTCGCATGCGTCCCCCCCGCACAAACACACATACACACACACACACACACCCACACGCACACGCACACGCACACGCACACGCACACGCACACGCACACGCACACGCACACGCACACGCACACGCACACGCACACGTACACGCACACGCACACGCACACGCGCACACGCACACGCGCGCACGCGCACGCGCACGCACACGCACACGCACACGCACACGCACACGCGGCGCACCACACGCACCACACGCACCACACGCACACGCACACACGCACACACGCACACACGCACACACGCACACACGCACACACGCACACACGCACACACGCACACACGCACACACGCACACACGCACACACGCGCACACGCGCACACGCACACGCATACGCACACGCACACACAGTACAGCGTTTCGTGGCCCTATAGGGAACTCCACCGAAGACCCCAGCGGCCGCGGTCGCATGCGTCTCTCCAGCCCAATATGGCACAACCCTGACGAGTTTCGTGGCACTATAGGGAGCTCCACGGAAACCGGTACCCACAGCGCTGATTTTACAACTGCATGTGTGTGGGTCCTTCGCGTGGATGATTGAAGGAAAAAATGGGAGCGAACAGCACGCCTCAACAACCAGCGTCGTCGAAATGCGACTGCCGCCGCGCACCCGAAGCGAAATTGAAACGAGTACTGATCAGGCCAAGTAGGAAAAGGCAAACAGACATCGGTCGCATTTGGAAGCGATGTTTTTCCAAACCCGACGCGCGGGACATACGCGCACAACGCCGAAAGGGAGGAGGATGGGGAGGAAGAGGAGGACGCGGAGGAAAGGCGGAGGTAACAGGCCAAGAACCTGGAGCAGCGCTCAACCCAACCTGCCATCTTCGAGCAGTTGCGCGCATCCGAAGGCGGGGAAAACTGCCCCCCAAAAACATGTAGATCCCCTACGGTCCAAGTGGCCGCACGAATAAATCCACCGCGTCAGGCGATAAGGAGAAGAACCATGGAGGGGGGGGAGGAGAGAGGGAGAGGAAAAAAGGGCACAGATTATTCAAATCGAACGGCCGACAGGCGTCACCATAATATGGAAAATGGGCAAACCCAGGAAAGTTGAGGAGAGGAGAAGAGAAGACGAAGACGATGACGACGACGACGACGGTATGAGAGGATACTGAATGACTACTATCCTTGCCATTTGTGAACGAGGGCCACGGCGCGCGCGAGCTGGGCGGGTGGCCGCGCGCGGCCGCGCGGACGGAACCGCAAAGAAGATCAGGGGCGTATGCGACGGGCGCCACGTAACGAATTGCAGCCTGTACACGACACGTCGCGTAGACGCCGACTGCCTGGCAAATGCCTAAGCAGTCCTCGCGGTTGGCTCCAGGCGCGTCCACCGAGCGAGCCGTTGCGATGCCCAGCCCGACGGAATCCCCGAACTGGCAGTCCATCCGCGGCCGAGTAAGCTCCAACCAGCTCGCTCGCAGCGCGCGCAGTTCACCACGAACAGCGTAGTGCTTCGGGTTCCCACCGGCCTGGGTATAGGCAAACCTGGGCCAGTCAGGCTTTGCAGGATCCTGCAAGACTTTGCAAAATCATGCAGGACTCTGCGCGCTAGCCCGGGTCAATGCGCCCCTAGCTGCGCAGGATCCTGCGAGATCCGGTGTTCTGGCTGACCCCAGTTTCCATTGACCCCCGCCTCTAGCAGTCCGACTGTGTGATGGAATCCGAACCCTGGGGGCAACCGAAGCAGCACGGAACCCTTACATTGACCCCCGCCTCTAGCAAACCGAGTGCTCGATGGAATCCGAGCCCGGGGGCAACCGAAGCAGCACTGAGCCCGCGTTCCGAATCGACTGGCCGCCGCCCAGAGGCTCATGGCGGCACGAAGGGTCACGGACTGCACGCGGAGGGCGACCAGCGCGGAGAAGCGGCACATGTGCTTGCGGAGCGACTCCAGACTCCACGCGGTGGCCCCGCGACGGCGCCCCTGCCAATGTCGAACCTGCGCCGGAGGTGGATCTGGGCGTGAACCTCCAGCGGCGGCCACAATGCTTTGTCGATCCGCGACTGCCAGCCCGTAGCGTTGTGGCAGCCGTCGCTGACGTTCACCACGGCAGCGCGGCAGCGCCCAAGTCCTGACTGCCACGCGCCCGGAGTTCGGCAGCTTCCACCGAAAATTCAAATGTGAACGAAATCGAATTCTCATGGTGCAGCGTGCGAGCCGCACACTCAAGGCGGCTCACCACTTGCCGAAGTTGATGTGCCCGCGGGCGGACCCGCAGCCCGCCGTGCTCCAAGTTCTCTTGCAAAGCCACGCGCGCCCTTGCGGCCACTGCGATCGAGGCGAGGTCTGGGACTTCGGCGGGAAAGCCGAGCAACTTTAGGGGCGTTAGCGCGGGACCTGAAGCCCAGCCAGGAGGCCCCTGGAACAACGACTTGAACACGGACGCCTCAGCTTCAAGCGCGTGCTGCGGCAGCGGATTCAGCTGGCAGACGAGGAGCATCGTCAAGAGGGCGAAGTCCAGGTAAGCCAGGATGGTGTTCAGAGTCCCCACGCCTGAGCCTCCCCATATGTGCGCTCGCTCGGCGTACTTGTCGACTGGGCTATTTCAAAACAGGTCGTTGCGACCAGGGCCGATGACGTAGCCCAGATACTTGACGTACCAGACGACGCCCATGGAGCCCCAGGGGGCGCCTGTCGCGCAAGTCGCTCGCGGGCGCGTTCCAAGCTCTCCCCTCGGAGAGGCACGAATCGAACACAGTCTTGTCGATGTTCAGTGCCAAGCCAGCAAAACGACCAGCCTCCCCGCGTAATGGCTCGGCGTCGTGCTCACGCTGGTGCTGACGAGCTCAAACGGGACGGGCATCTGGGCCATGCCTCGGACGAGGCGGGCCATCGTTCGAGCTGTAAGGGTGAGATGGCAGGACAGATGTCGGAGATGGTCTGGACAGGGTTGCAGCCGGAGGCGGCCGGGAACGGCGCGACCATGATGGACGAGGAGGGCCTGGGCTGGGCATCAGCTCGCCGAAGGTAGGCTGCCAAGCATCTGGACAAGGAGTTTCCGTCAGCAGGGGCCCAGGCTATAACCTGCTTCCCCGCTCCCATGTCCAACCACTTCTCGTCCCACTTCTCCATCGGGTGCGAATTACTGGGGGGCCATGGATGGGGAGTGAAGAGGGGTGCCAGCTACGGCCCCTGAAGGCCCCCTCTTGGGCCCTCAAGAGCCCTTTAGAGGCCCGAAAGGGCCCCTTTCTGCAGCGCTCGCTGCCCCCTCATTGAGCGCCTCCCCCATTGCGCGTCCTCCGATCTGCAACATCGCCCCAGTCCTCTGGGCACCGTCGGGCGGGTGGGTGACCCCGGGGGATGCTCGACCACTGCGTGAGGATCAGGTCGTCGGCAGGGGTTTTCGCTGCAATGGCGCGCGCAGCACCGAGCCAGGTACACTTCGTTCATTTCCAATCGTGCTCATTTCTAATTGTGCTCGTTGCTAATTGTTCCTGGCCCCCTAGTGGCCAGGAAGAGGCCCAGGACAGAACAATTAGAAATGAAAGGATCTTGGCCCCCAAACAGAATCAAAGAACTTGCGAAGAGTTAGAAGCGAACAACGTGTGGGCTCCAGCGTCGTGGCGCGGCGCTTCTTGCGGGTGGTCGTCGCTGCCGCCGGGCCGTCGGCACACCCGGCCGCCGCCCCGAGGAGGCGGGCGGTGAGGCCGGTGGTCTCGGACTCGTCCTCCTCCAGCCACTGCGCGTGCACGGCGAGGATCGTCTTGGCCGCCCTGAGGCGAGCCCCGATGCTGATGACGGCGGGGCCGGGGCCGTCGAGCCCAGCGAATCTCAAGAGGAAGGGGGAGAGGGTCTCAATGCGCGAGGTCGTGGCCCAGCTTCTGGAGGATCGCTTTGTTGGCGTCGTGCAGGCTGGTGGGGAGCTTGATGGGGGCAATGAAAGCGTCATCGTCCGAATCCTGCGTCGCCTGCACGAGCGGGAAAAACTGGGGGACCTCGTCTTCCAACCACTCTCGGCGGGCGGTGTCCCGCCGTCCTGGCTGTCCAGCCATCTCGGGGGGGGCGCCGAAGCGGGCCCGGCTGGCTCCCCCATGAGGCCGTCCACCGCCTGGGCGAGGCTCCAGGTGGCGATGTCCAGCTCGTCTGGCGCAGCTACTCCAAATCCCTTATTGATCGTCCCCCGCCTTTTTTGTAACTGGAGGTGTCCGGTTTCTGAGGGCGCTTTCTTTGCACCGGAGCTCAGGGGGCCTGGTTTGTTGAGGCGCCCCGCCGAAGAGAGGGGGGCCCAGAATGCCCGGTCGCACTTGGCGGGGGGTCCGGATCTTTTAGGGGGGGTTCGATCAATCAGGGATTTGGGGTAGCCATGATGCTGGCCCAGACCCCCGACGTCATGATTTTTTCGCGACGCGACCCCCAGAGGTCTGGACCCATTCCCTGAGACCGGCTTTTCGCTCTGAGCCGTTTCTTCCCGGCCCCGAGGCCCGGCGAGGGCCCCCAGGGGCCGAAAACAGCGAGAAATCGACCGTCGTGCCCAGACCCCCGACGTAATGTTTTTTTCATTACGTCGACCCCAGAGTTCTCGACCCCTTCCCCGGGACCGGTTTGTCATCCTGAGTCGTTTTTTGACGCTCCCGAAGCCCGGTGAGGGTCCCCAGGGGGCGAAAATGGCGAAAAACCTCTCGTCATGATTTTTTCATTACTCGAGGGGGCCTGGGTGGGCCGAAAAAAATGCGAAAAATCTGCCGTCGTGAGTTCGTCGCCACGCGAGGAGGCCTGGGGGCGCAGGGCGTGGGAGCGCACCGCGCTGCCGGCGCGCACGGGCCGGGCTTCAGGCCCTCGGCGGCGGCGTGGGGGCGAGCGGGCGCCCCGGCAGCGCCCGAGGCCGCGCGGCAGGGGGCCCGGACCCCAGACCTCCTCGCGTCGTGAAAAAATCACGACGGGAGGTTTTTCGCTATTTTCGGCCTCTGGGGGCCCTCGCAGGGCCTCGGGACCGTCAAAAAACGACTCAGGACGAAAAACCGGTCCCAGGGAATGGGTCGGGACCTCTGGGGGTCGCGTCATGAAAAAATCATGACGTCGGGGGCCCCGACTCCGGATCCGCCCTGCTCTGGGGAAATTCGTAGGCAGGGCTTGGGGTTCCCGCCCTACTTCTCAAGCCCCGCTGATGCCAATTTCCGCCCTGCTTTTCTGTGGCTGTTTCTGCGGATTTCCGCCCAACTTCATGTTGGGTGCAGCAATTTCCGCCCTACTTTTTCGGCCTCTCATAGGTGGATTTCCGACGCAACTTTAAGTTGGAAAAAAACCAAAGAAGGGCGGATCTGGAGTCGGGGAGCACCGCGGAGCCGGAGTTACCATCCACTGGCCATCGCTCGGACGTCCATTCCCTGCGTTTTTTTCGGTTTCGTGCGTGTGGTTTCTTCGCCAAATGATCAAGGATGCTCCTCGATGGATCTCGCCCAAGGAAAAATTCACACGTCCGAGCGATGCCAAGTCCACAGTGTCGGTTCCTGGGTGATGTGGAGACCCGACTGCGCGCGCTTGTCCTCCAGCCGGCGCCCAGCAGAGAGCAGGCGCTGACCGGCAGGGGGTCATGCCCCAGTGTCCTGGATCTGGACCACGGCGTCGTCGATCACATCGTTTGCTGTCACGTCGGGGCGCGAGGCTCTTGTCCGAGAGCGTCTTCGCGAAAATCTGTACGGCCGTGCTGGTAGCGGTGGTGCCGATGCCAGTGCTGGCGCCATGGTTTGCGTCGGTGCTGGAATGGGTGCTGGATGTGGCACTGGCGCCGGTGCTGTCGTGGGAAATGGCGTTCGTGCTGGCGTTAGTAATGACGTGTGTGCCAGCCCAGGCGCTGGCGTGGACGCTTTCGTCGGCGCTGGCGTCGGTGCTGACATCGGCGCTGGCGTCGGCGATGTTGACCTCACCCGCGGCGGCGCCCAACTTGCCTTCGACATCCTGCATGTCGTTGAACTTCAGCTGGTCGCCGATGTCCAGCGGGTGGCCGATGCTAGGGAGGTTGTCGCTGCCCAGCGGATGGCCGATGTTCACGTCGTCGGCGCCGTCGATCTCGGCCGTGCAGGGCCGTCCCGAAGGTCCGCGGAACGCGGCTCCAGGACATGGCGACCGCTTCGCGAGCAGCGCAGCGCCCCGCCAACGCAGGTGGACGAGGAGGGGCTCACGGAGAAGTGCTGTAAGAAGGCCCCGTGGTACGGGTGTGGCGTGGAACCCGTGCGGTCCCTCGACCGCCCCTTTGGTCGCCACTGCGGCGACCTTCCGCTTCGAGCCCGCCAGGGCCAAAATAGAGCAAGGCGGCGCGGCGGCGGACCTCTGCCGCGCGCGCGGGAGGAGGAGGAGGAGGAGGAGGAGGAGGAGGAGGAGGAGGAGGAGGAGGAGGAGGAGGAGGAGGAGGAGGAGGTGGAGGAGGAGGAGGAGGAGGAGGAGGAGGAGGAGGGTGGTAGAGCAACGCCACTTAGAAGGTGCTTGAACGAGGTCCGCGTCCTCGGTTTTTGTCGGGCTCCCCACGCTGCCCAAGCGGCCCCCAAAGAGCGCCCGAGGATGGCCCGAGAGGCCCACAAGCAGGCCCCCCGGCAACCCAAGGAGGCCCCGAGACAGCACGCGATGCCCCCAAGACGGCCCAAGAGAACCAGCACTTCGAGCTCTCCGCCCCACGACGACCTCCGAGACAGCCAGCAGGCCCCCAAGCAGCCCGAGGCTCCAGGAGGCCCCCGAGAGGCACACCTCTGGCCACCCGAGGCCCAAGGAGGCGCCCGAGAGGCCCCCAAGCCACCCCTAAAATCGTCTCCAAGAGGCGTTCGAAGAGGCATCCCAGGAGATCCCTACATGCGTCCACGAGGCCTCTGACTTGGGCCGATGGCCACCAGATCCGCCGCCCCCTGTCGATTCATCGCAGGGGTGCCTGGCGTGCCGAATCCTATCGGTTTGGTTTCTTTTTCCAAAAGAACTCCCCCTGGGGCTTCGGCCCGTTCCGCCAGCCACCCGGAAGGCCGCGTAAACCACCTCAGCGTCCACACAAAATCCTCCAAGACGGCTCAAGGTGGCCTCCAAGATGTCCATGTTGGCCCAAGATGGTATCCAAGATGGTCCAAGATGGGCTCCAAGTTCGCCCAAGATGGTCCAAGACGGTCCAAGAGAGTCCGAGACGCCCCAAGAGGCCCCCCAGAGGCCTCCAAGACGGCCCAAGAGGCCTCCAAGCGGTCCTCCAGGACGGCCCGAAGAGGCCAACATCATTGATGTTCCTTAGGTTTTTGAAGGATTTTGGCATGCGCTTCTTCTCGGCTTCCTGACGACCCAAGACGGCCCAAGAGGCCCCCAAGATCGCCCCCACAGCGCCCAAGAGGCGTCCAAGATGGCCTCAGGACTGCCCAAGAGGACCCCAAGACGGTCCCAAGAGGGCACAAAGACGACCCAAGAGGCCTCCAAGACGCCCAAGATGGCCTCTAAGACGGCCCTGGAGCACCCCAAGAGGGCTCCAAGTCGGCCCAGAAAGGCTCCCAGAACGGCTTCCGACGGCGTCAGACGGGCCAAGGACCCACCAAGATGGCGGAAGTTGGCTCGAAGCTGGCCCAAGACGGCCCAAGAGGCCTCCAAGAGGGCCCCCTGGAAGGCCAGAAAAGGCAAAAAACACCGATGGTCCGCAAGTTTTCGAAGGATTTTGACATTTGCTTCGTTTCGGCCTTCCGACGGCCCGATACGGCCCAAGAGCCCCAAAAGATCGCCCAAGAGGCGTCCAAGATGGCCCCAGAACGGCCGTAGAGGCTCCCAATACGGCCCCAAGATGCCCCCAAGACGGCCCAGGAGGCCTTTTAAGACGCCCACGATGGCCTCCAAGACGGCCCTGGAGCATTCCAAGAG